AATTTCTATTTTGAAAATAATAGAATGTCATTGTAAAAATACATAAATAAACCTTCGCTAAATCTTATCAAGGCAAAATTTACAAAAATCGAGATTCGTCTCTTCATATGAGCAGTCCTTTCTGGTATGAAGAGGACTTGATAAGGACAGTTGTCCTTTATAACCGATATAAGATAACCTTACCAAACCAAAACAACTGCCATCCCAAAAAGAATTACCTTGATGTTTTGGAAGAATGAAGACTCGACCAGATCTGAAAATGTCTCATCTACCAAACTAACAGTACAAAAGCCATCCGATTGATCCAGATCTATCTACCAACAACCAGAATTATCGACAACTACCTAGTCAGCGATATGAGTTGACGTTAACATGTCATCTACAAACCAACCAACCTATCAACCAGCCAGGAAGTTGTCAAAGTCTGCGATATCAGTTAGCTGGAAGCGGGCGTTAACTTGTCATCTACAAACCAACCAGCCAGCCAGACAGTTGTCGATGTCTGCGATATCAGTTAGCTGGAAGCGGAACGTTCACTTACCAGCTACAAACCAACCAACCAACCTATCAATCGGCCAGGCAGTTGTCGAAGTCTGCGTTATCAGTTAGCTACAAGCGGACGTCAACTTGTCATCTACAAACCAACCAAAGTAGTGTATATTCATAACAATTTGATTAAAGTAGATTCTGCACACGCAATCAGTGGCTGTTAATACATCCAAACTTCTTTGTTTAATACCCATTCAAAGTGGCAGGTCGCATTGAAGGCATTTTTTAGATATAATAGTAGTAATGCAGAGTTGGTAAAAAAACTGATCGTGAAAACTTTTTGAAGAATTTACAAGCACGTGAAGTTTATATAACAAACATTACTCAATCTACTGACATTGGTGGAAAAAATGACTAAAAATATTATATATACAAAAGTAATAATAATAGCTCCTGTTTTATACGAAAGCTCAATACGACATGGTTTTGAATTTTTGAATTTCGAATCTTTATAAAAAAAAACTTATTCATAAAAAGTATTTTTACAAATTCAAAAATTTGGTCGTGGACCACCGTTTCTGAATAAGTTGAACTCTATAATCGATTCGGTTACTGTCTTTATAAATCAAACCACTTCAGCTAAATCTTTCTTACTGGATGATTATAATAAAACAATTCTATGGCTATATACTTTAAATCAATATAACTAAACCTAAAAGGTATTTGCCGGGGTAGTACGATATTAAACAATTCACAATTCAAAATAAATATGTCTGATGGTTCGGATTAGAAGAGATGACTAAAATTTAGCTCAAAGAACTATCGGCAGTTGTAAATAGATGACCGATGAAATTCGGGATATTTCTCTCCCACAATGACAGGTCAAACAACATTTAATGTTAATTTTTTAACCTATATTTCCTTCTGTCACCAAATATTATTATTAATGTATTCATCAATTTGTTACAATCTTTCCATTTACATGTTCACGTTTCCCACAAGCTCTTAATAAATTAACAATTTTAACGCATAACCGATTTCTTGTAGGTCACCTTTATCTCATCTTCTCACTTCATTAAATAAACTACATGTGTTTAATGAAATTATTCATTAAATGAGTCTCCACACAGGAGTCTGTGATTCAAATGTGGAAGATATGAAGATCAGGCATAAAAAGTCCCCCTGAAAATTGACTAGAGCTCATGTAATGCTGCTACAATATATTGTTTCCTATATTGAACTTGGCTTGTGAAAAGTAAGCGAAAAGAGGTCTCAAAGAAGGCGCATATCGAAATCTGTAGAACCTTAACAAAATTCCTTATGACGTACGGATTTAAGTAATTTGCAGCATAACACAGCGTTAAAAAGGGATTAATTTTTTTTTAAATTCGAATAAGGGGGTTGTCGTTCTATCAAAGGGTCTACAAAGAATGTATTCTCGTACTTGTCTTACAAGGGATGTATTCTTGTTGTCGTTCTGTGACAAGGGTATATTGGTTGTCTTTCTGACAAGAGATGTATTCTGACTGTTGTCTAACAAGGGATGTATCCTGGTTGTTGTCTGACAATGGATGTAGTCTGCTTAACGTTCTGACAAATTGTGTATTCTATGACGTTATAATTATGACAAAGGATGTATCTTGGTTGTTGTCTGACAAGAGATGTATTCTGGTTGTCTTTCTGACATGTGTGTAGACAGCTGCCTTTCGGCCCGTGACAAATTTTGTAACAGTAAAAATTATCAAACAGTTAATAAATTTCCGCAGGCCCATCGAAAATTGTCCTACTAGGAGCGTGATGTGTGAGAATAGACTAAATTATTGGAGTCTAATGGTGATGAATGCCGATATCATGCATACGATTGATGCTGATGTGCTGTGGTTCTGTTCCTGAAAATAAGATCGCAAACTTCCTGCCATAAAATTGTAATCACACCATGCCCCTCCCTAAAATGAGAAAATGAGACCCTCTACCGCCCAACAAGTCTAAAATCCACCACTGGTCACAAGGTGTCAAGAGGTGTATAGCAAACCGCGAGCGGGAGTATAAAAACTTATCTTTTTTCTTTCTTACCTATCTGAAATGTGATGGAGCCATGACAGAATTCAATCGACCGCATACATTCTGATTTCGAGTTATTAATACAATGTGTTGGTGGATAATGGTAGATGTATATGTGACGGAATGAAGGTTAAGTCCTTTTTATTGATGATTCTCAACCAATATCTTGACTAATTAAAGACAGGGGAAAAGGTAACCCGTTATCAGAGCTTTATTCTATATTATTTATATCTAATGGTTTCCTTTAATCATATACTACAATACATATATTAATTGATTTTCTTTCATTTAGACTTCTAATTACCTTTTCTTTTTGTCTCTAATTATCTCATATTAATGAAACTCGAGAGACATCCGACAAGTACCAATCAATACTTAATAAATTGAGATCAATCGCTAATGATATTTTTACAATTCAATGCCTTGACGTTATTTGAAAGATAAGAGGTGAACTTCTCAATCGAAACATTTTATTTACAAGGATTTTCCCGATAGCCACGCTTGTTTACATGAATTTCAACTTTCCACTTAACGAGTCGTTCTATTTTTGTCTTGAGAAAACCAGTTAGAATGATTTAAGAGTGAGAAGTGAACACTAGCACAGAAACCATACCTAATTGATACAGAGATGGTCATATTATTATTTTGACATAAGAGAAATAAACTCCACTATTAGCAAACTCGGACAGGGGTTTTCAACCTTTTTCTTTCAATACCCCTTTCTGGACACTTAATCGATTGCATTACCCCATATAAATACTTATTATTTTGTGATTTTCTCTTAGGTTTTCCTTTTAATCTTCTTCATGTTGGAGCATATAGCCCGACTGAATAGAACGCCTTTAATTATGGTTGTATGGTTATGTTAGACTGAAGTAAAATGTCTTCTGTCACAGGCATTTAGTAAAGAATTATAAAATAAGGGAAAACGATCGGTTTTCTTATAAGTCTTTTAAAGATAAATTTTCATTTCCATTGTTACAAATGAAAGTGATAACATTGTATTCCAACTCTCAACCTTCCAATAACCAGAAAGTTGTTCCTAATATTACATTATTTTCTCCTTATCAAATGTACTGAAATCTAATAAATTCAAAATAACCCTGGAATCAAATCCCAGAAATTTGACAGTTCTAATTCCTATGAGTATCTTTGTTCAAGTTCAAGACTTGAATTGACAACTGAGATTTCTTTCTACTTATAAAATCAATTCTGTTAACATCTCTGTATAATCTCTCCAATGTGGGCGCCTTCTGAATATTAACCATCTGAGATATTATGTAATCACGCTAATTGAATAATTCAACTGATTATCATAACCTAGTATGCATGTGTATGATCATAAAATTAATTTTAAACGGACAAGTAGGAGATTTTTTGACCAATCATACTTTAGTCTCAGAAACTGATTTTTTTTTAGCTAAGCCAATCAGTAATATTGTTCACACTTCACCTTCCAAATTTGAGCCTTCAAATCCATGTGTGTCCAGAATTATCTATGTTATGTTAAAATGACGACTCGACAATTTAAGATACTCTGTGATATATAGAAAAGACATATATAGAAATAGTGAGTAAAATTCCGAGTTTGAAGTATTTTTAAAGGAATTATTTTCGTACATTTCTATTACCTCTGAAAACTAAAATCAATCCCCCAAGTAGCACACCTGTCCCTTTAACCCCCATTAGCCTATATGGGTAAATGGCCACAAAATGAAGACGTTAGAAAACGTATAGTTGTTCGTACTGGAAATAAAAAACTATACTTTTTTATATTACATTTGATAAAAAATTGTCGTAGAATTACCTTCGTCAAAAGCACTATAAAGGGTGCATTGAACTGAAAGGTTTATCGGTATTTGTCCTGAAGTATTCTTCAGACCAAAAAGTCATTTCAATGAGCACTTTAAAGATAAAAAACACAAATTTATTTAAGTAGTCAGCTGCTCTGAGGTACTATTTTACAATCAAAATACATCGTTTATTATGCAATCCATACATTCATACATCTTTTAAAAGGATTTAGTTAATTATATATTAGGTCCGAAACATACTTAAAACACTTTAATTGTAGGTAAGAGGGGCTGACATGCAAAAAAAGTCTAGTCGTTCGGATGGGACAATAAACCGAGGCCCCGTGTGCTCGTTAAAGATCCCTCGACAGTTGGAAATCGAAAGAGAGCAGGCTAATGCCTCTGTCCTAGCAAAATTTCACTCATTGCACCCTGCATGGCGTTGTCCGTCTCCATTAGCCCACATGGTGCAGAAAAGTAGGACGTAAAACTCCATTCCTTTCATTTCATTTCATTTTTTAAAACACTTTGACATAAATATGGATATTGATTTTTAAACATATCTATACGGTCTTGTATTCAGTTTGGTCGTAATGGTTTTCCATAATGTGGTGACAGGTGTTCAAGGATGATTAAGCTTCAGTATTATGAACAAATATGGCTGAAAAAGACTTGAGTTATTGCCGACCATTAGACAGGTCGCCAGAAAAACTGTCACCGCACCTTAGTTCAGAAAATGTCAAAGCTATTACGGATGTGAGAATGGCAGTTGAAAATGTACGGAAGAAATTTGATGAATTGAACAACAATTTACATGAAAGGTGAGAAGCACTTTACACCTGGAATTTCTCATTATCAGTATGGAAAGATCATTAGCCAAAATTAAAATATTATTTTCCGTTTCCACAGCTCTAAATTACATTTAATGGTATCAATATAACATCATCTTTGCGCTCTTGGTGTTATAGTAACTAGTAATCTTATATCAATAACAGTAAGGAGTTCTAGTGCTGAGTGTTATTGATAACAGTTACACCATTCTAATGTTACTTTATAAATCTTATTGATAGTAGTTACACCATTGTAATATTACTTTATAAATCTTATTGATAACAGTTACACCATTCTGTTTTTACTTTATAAATCTTATTGTTAACAGTTACACCATTCTGTTTTTACTTTATAAATCTTATTGTTAACAGTTACACCATTCTAATATTATTTTTTAAATCTTGTTGATAGCAGTTACACCATTCTAATTTTACTTTATAAATCTTATTGATTACAGTTACCCCCTTCAAATATTACTTTATAAATCTTATTGATAGTAGTTACACCATTGTAATGTTAATTCATAAATATTATTGATTACAGTTACCCCCTTCAAATATTAATTTATAAATCTTATTGATAGCAGTTACACCATTGTAATATTACTTTATAAATATTATTGATTACAGTAACAGCATTCTAATGTTACTTTATAAATCTTACTGATTATAGTTACGCCCTTCAAATATTACTCTATAAATCTTATTGATAGCAGTTACACCATTGTAATATTACTTTATAAATATTATTGATTACAGTACCAGCATTCTAATGTTACTTTATAAATCTTATTGATAACAGTAACACCATTCTAATATTACTTTATAAAATCTTATTGATAGCAGTTACACAATTCTAATGTTATTTTATAAATATTATTGATTACAGTTACAGCATTCTAATGTTACTTTATAAATCTTATTAATTACAGTTACACCCTTCAAATATTACTTCATAAATCTTATTGATAGCAGTTACACCATTCTAATGTTACTTTATAAATATTATTGATTACAGTAACACCATTCTTGTTTTATTATAAATCTTGTTGATAGCAGTTACACCATTCTAATGTTACTTTATAAATCTTATTGATTACAGTTACACCCTTCAAATATTACTTTATAAATCTTATTGATAGTAGTTACACCATTCTAATGTTACTTTATAAATATTATTGATTACAGTAAGTCCATTCTTGTTTTATTTTCTAGATCTAATCATAATAAAATCTCAGACTGAAAAAAAAAAAAGATTTGGATTGGTTGAATCATTCTTTGGCAATGAACATATCATGCTGAAGAAGTTGTCAGATTTAAATAGTTACACCATTTTAATGTTTTCTTAAAAATTTTCTTATAAGCATAATTGGACATCAGACCATTTAAACATTAGCACATATTCAATTTAATGTGTGCACATTATTTCAAACTGTGGCCTAACTTTCTTTTCAATTATTTCAATTTCACTACAGAGACAAAGCAGTAGCATTTGAAAGGAAATTAAAAGAAAAAGCTGAAGAGAAGATAAAGAGTAAATTAGTTGACATGTATCAAGACGATGGACATGTTAATTCGGAACTTAGAAATCGATTACCTAGAGCTAATAAAACAGACCCTCTTTCATCAACCCATTACCACAGTGATGATGATATTTCTTTCAAAAACATACCACCAGAAACAGAGAGAAGTTGGTGAGTTGACAGTTCATGCTTGCCATTTTGAGGGTTGATTTAGGCCTTGTGGGCTATATTAATAGTCTTCAGAAGTACTAGAACTGTATGAAAAGCGCATGATTCCTTCAAACAGACCTCAAGAAAGAATTGTTACTTTTATTTATTTTGTTCACAAACTTATCTTTTGAAAATTTGGGTATATGAATGTTGAATATTATGTTGATGTAGTTTCTGACACCCAGACATTTTTCGTCACAGCTGTGCATAGGTCAAGTGGGACAGGATGATTGAGTCTATTGTGGACTTTTAAAGAATTTCCATAAATATTTGTAAACATTCTTCTACCAAAATTAAATGGATTAATGAGAGGATTTCTGGACTTTTGTATTAGAGATAAGTTAAAGGGAAGTAACCTCAAAAAAAGTTATAATTCATTCAGACTACAACTGAATCATGGTGATCCGTCACAATAAAAGGAATTTAGCTCTCTTGTAGCAATGGTTACAATGAAACTTTCACATGGTTTATCTGCAATCAAAGTAAAACTGATTTTTTTCAAAGTTTTCGGCCTGCAAGCATATATATATGATCTCATTTTTACTTGTCAAGACCAATTGGATTTTTGAAGTCTGAATTTCTATTCTTCTAAAAATTAAATATTTTGGTTTAAGATTAAAAGTGCATGGGGGGCTTATGCTTATTTGGACTATAAATTTCATAAAAGTGGGGAGAATTGGTTCTGCTGTCCAGGAAGACAGAAGACAACTGGTATGGTGAATAATTATACTTGTTTGGTTATTAAATTGAAAATAGAGTTGTCTGCCTTGCACCATTTTTTTGTAGCCTAGATATTTCAGAATTGTGAAATCAGTGTAATTGATAAGCATAAGCGTGACTTTTTTTATTATTGCTGCCTTGGATTTGTTAGAAATCACTCCAAGAAAGATTTCAATGAAGGCTACATGTATTAAACTTGACTAACACTTGAATGTAACAATTACATTGCACAATGAATGCTTGATTGAAGATATCTTAGTAGTAACTTCTGTAAAATTGTCATTGCAATGTTGTCAAATTAGACAAAAGACTAATCAAGTTACTCTTTTATAATTCTTCATATTTTTATTGTTTATTTCACCATTAAAGAGATGAGTGTGTCATTTAAGGGGTTGATTTTAGTCTTGCAAATATGTAAATGGTCTTCAGAAGTACTAGAAATATACGAAAATAGCATAATTCCTTTAAAAATAATTCAAATAGGAATTTTACTCTATTTCACAGAGTATCTTAAAATGACGAGTCCTCATTTGTCATTTTAACATTCAAAAACAGATAATTCTGGATACACATGTAATTGAAGGCTATTTGAGACTAAAGTATGAATGGTCAAAAAGAATGACTCTCCTGTCCCTTTAATCCTTATAGATGATAATCCAACCAAATAAGCATATACCATGAAAAAAGATAATAAGAATTTTCAATAATTACCTACTAGGACTATTATGAATTTGTCTGATTATACAGAGAGAAATACCACTTTATACTATGATATACTCAATTAAAATTTTCTATTCTATATCCATTTGTTAAATTATTTTCAAATATATTTATATCTTGGTTTAAGTGCAATTTGCACTGAGTTCAAATGAAAATTTTTAGAAGGAAAGAATTTTTGTTCAAAGATATAATATTTTTTCTCTAAAGCCAATTCACTTTTAGATTTAATGATTCAAATGATTGCCAAAAAAAAAGATGAAAAAAGTAAAATATGAAAGAAGGATGTTGACAAATTGAGAGAACTCTTAGAATTGATTCACCATTATGATTATAATTTACTAAATTTGCAATTCCCACTTTCTTTTGATGGTTTTCTTTACTATTCAAATGAGTTTTGGCAGTTATGAGTTTAGAATGAGCTCAGTTATCATTAATAAAGAAACTCAATGAGATTGTTTCATTTTAAAGGCAATCATTGTCAACAGTTTTTGTGTAAGGAAAGTGTTTGATTAGTGAGTGAAATTAAATAGTGAGAGAGATAGTGAAAGTGTATCCACTTGGTAATGTTTACTTATTTATTGTTGCCGATTTTCAACGCAGACAATTGACACTTTATTCCCATTTTTCCTTTGACTTGTCTTCGGATAATTTTCACTCGGCTTTCATTTTGCCTCCAAAACATAATTTGTGACCCCTTCATAACTTTCTCTGGAGGTAATTTGAAAAAATGACAGGCAATTTGTAATTTGGTGTAGTCAATCAGTATGAGTGATTAGTAACAAGGCGGCCATTAGACAGACGGACAAGGAATTTGAACGCTGATGCCAATGTTGGAAGGTTAAATTTGATGGTTTTCCAGCGATCACTGTTGCTAAGTAAACAATATTTACTGCGGAACGGTAACTTGTTGTGATTAAAATTGATTGTCGGCAAAATAATGATTCCTTGGGGTGAAGTTTAGATCTGTATTTCTCCCAACACAAGACAAATGAGATGTGACGCTTTATTTGAATTTAGCCAACATTGAAGCAATGTAAACACTGCTTTATTCAATTATGTTTGATGAAATTTGTGCAATTTTTAACTAAGTCAACATCTAGTAATTCAGTTGTGTGTAAAGAGTTGAGGTAGGAACTCTGCAGTAATTAACCCTAACGGTGAAGATAGCCAGGGTAAATTAAAATATTCAATAAAATCATTGAGAGTAATTTGTGTCAACAAACGACTCGATAGTATCCAACTTAATCCTGACCATTGTTCAACATTGATAAGTTTTTATTTTCTTCTAAAGTTTGCATTTTAGACAAAGTTTATATACAGACATTATACCTATATGTCTAAAATTTAAAATAATATTATTATTAAATATTATTGTTTAGTTCCCTGATTTCCAACTGCATATGGTATTGAGAATTTCAAAAGACCATTTTTTTAAATGTTTTATTCTATAACACAAACAATAGTATTTTAATATGTATGAAATATGCTAAAATTCCATGGTTTTAAGTCTCTTATTCAATATTTAAATTTCAAAGACAATTTTTTTTAATGTTTTATTCTATAACACAAACAATGGCATTTTTTAAATTTATATATGAAATATGCTAAAATTCCATAGTTTTTAGTCTCTTATGCAATATTTAAATTTCAAAGACCATTTTTGTTTTAAATGTTTTATTCTATAACACAAACAATGGCTGTCTTTAAATTTATATATGAAATATGATAAAATTCCATGGTTTTTTAGTCTCTTATTCAATATTTAAATTTCAAAGGCCATTTTTATTTAAATGTTTTATTCTATAAAAAAATTATAAAATTCTGTGTCAAAGAATCTTACTAATTTGCATGAAATTGAAAAAAAATGACTTCCAAGGCTATTCAAATCTTAAATAACATCAAAAGATGAATTGAAGGAAGTGCCAAAAGACAGAAATTAACATGCAGTCTGTTTGAATTATGTAAAAATATTTAAAAGGAAATATAAGTATGTCATGGCTACAGGCATAGTTCATTTTACAATTACCCAATGTCTGTCAATTGAAAATTGTAAACACTCTAAAGCTTCTCATTCTTATCAAATTTCTTCTGAAATGAAGTGAAGCCATTGATAAGTTTCAGTTTGTGATTGTGTGTAAATGAAGACCTCTTATGTACAATGTCCACAAATTCTGTTTACAGGAAGACAAAATTCTCTGCTCAGCAGTTTTATAACAAAATAATTTACCACTATTGATTATGAGCCTGTTCAAAACAATGGCAGTTGTGATACAGGGGTGAGGCATTTGCCTCCCTAGAAAAACACTTCATTCCCCACAAAGTACCTGCTCTTATTTTTCAACAAATTCAAAAATGTGATTTTTTTATGCTTTAGCCCCAAAATATGTGTCAGTTCCACGGAAATGCCACATTTTGAATGTCAAACTCAACAGTTGCCCCCATAAAGTCAGACTGCTCCGAAGTTATATCCCCCAATCTCAGGAGGCTAGTGCCATCAATGATTCAAATCCATTTATTTTGATGTTAACTGCTTGAGTTTAGGAACATCAATGAGAATGTTACCATTTTGTTGAAATATGCTGAAACCTTCCCTCCTTAGTCATGATTAACTCTTTATTTTACATGGGTGAGAATTAGGTCCAATACACAAGGACAAGGTTCTGTCTAATATTCAGCCTATTCAGGGACATTACAATGAATGATATGAAAAAAATAATAAATATTTACACAATATTTCGATGTAATGTCTGTTTAAAACAAGTACAACTGGATTAGATGGACAGATTATATTGCTGTGATTAAGTACATGACCACAAAGTACAGATGTATAACAGTCAAGAACTTGTCGATTGTCTTGTGTCAGAGTCATTTGGTTAGAAATCTACCACATACGTTCTCGACTGAGAGCAATGTATGAATTATACCACTTGGCCTATGTAATAGAGCAGCTAGGGTACACAATTTTTGTTGGTTTGTCAGTGATCTGTATATTTGTCAGACTATTAGAAATGACGGGCTAAGTGTTGATTTTTCCTGATATTAGAATGTAAATTCGCAATCAAACTTGTTGAAATCAAATTCAGGGCTTGAATCAACTACCATATTATATGTGTAAAGAAAAATATTAGTTCAGTGTTGTTGAGATGATTGTAAAGTGATTTATTAGGGGTGTAATATGAATAAGACTGTCAATAGTTAAACTGGTAGAATAAATTTGGTTAACCATGGTTAGCCAACATTAAGATTCATTCACTATACATGTATATCATGGCTTGGAGCACTAGAAAGTCATATATAAGTTGAATTCCTTACACCTAATTTAGGATTTATGCCAAAAAAATTGTGCTTATGATTTTTTTAATTTTCTACAAGAGGGTTGTAATATATTTAAAAATACATGTATTATATCTTCCTGTAACAAGGTAAACAACAGGTTTTCAGGCTGGTTGAGATGTCAGCATTAAGAGTTACATTAGATTTCCAGGTTTGTTGACATTTCAGCATTCAGATTTACATAAGGTTTCCAGGTTTGTTGACATTTCAGCATTAAGAGTTTCATTAGGGTTCCAGGTTTGTTGACATTTCAGCTTTAAGAGTTACATTAGGTTTTCAGGTTTGTTGACATTTCAGCATTAAGAGTTTCATTAGGGTTCCAGGTTTGTTGACATTTCAGCTTTAAGAGTTACATTAGGTTTTCAGGTTTGTTGACATTTCAGCATTAAGAGTTTCATTAGGGTTCCAGGTTTGTTGACATTTCAGCTTTAAGAGTTACATTAGGTTTTCAGGTTTGTTGACATTTCAGCATTAAGAGTTTCATTAGGGTTCCAGGTTTGTTGACATTTCAGCTTTAAGAGTTACATTAGGTTGTCAGCATTCAGGGTAGAAGAAGGTTTTCAGGTTAGTTGACCTGTCAGCATTCAGGGTAGAAGAAGGTTTTCAAGTTATTTGACCTGTCAGCATTCAGGGTAGAAGAAGGTTTTCAGGTTAGTTGACCTGTCAGCATTCAGGTTAGAAGAAGGTTTTCAGGTTAGTTGACCTGTGAGCGTTCAGGGTACTTGCACTACTTTTGCAGCTGAGTGTACTTATAAAATAAATATATCATATGCTGCATATGAAATATTGTTAGTATTTTCCAGTTCAGAAAATTTTGGGAAGATCAAGAAAAGTGGAATTCCAAGAAGCAAAAGAAATTTAAGTCAGTAACGTTTGCATTATTTCCTTAATCTAATTTATTGCTGATCGTTTCTTTAAATATGAACAGGCTTATTTTGATGTTCCAAGCTTGTTAGAAAATGGAAATCTGACTTCATGTTTGTCTGAAATTAAATTAAAATAAGCTATGATAAATGTCATTTTGACATGTTTAAGCAATTCAGTATTGTTTTAGTGTACCCCTAGTAACGTTCTTAGAACTGGTTAAACAAAATACGCCTGTATTCCAGAATATTTGTATGCCAGTATCTATTTTTATACGCCCACACGTAAGATGGGCGTATATTGTAGTCAGTCCGTCCGTCGTGTCTGACTTGACGTTTTTCTCTATTAGCTATATTGTGCAACTCATGCTCACTCTACAGGCTACAATTTTTTACAGATTCTTTTGATTTTTATTTTGTGTGTCAATGTCATTATGAAGATGATCCCTATTGATTTTCGAATGATCGGATAATTTTTCACCGAAATATCGTGTCTGACCTGACGTTTTACTCTATTAGCTATATTGTGCAACTCATGCTCACTCTACAGGCTACAATTTTTTACAGATTCTTTTGATTTTTATTTTGTGTGTCAATGTCATTATGAAGATGATCCCTATTGATTTTCGTAATGATCGGATAATTTTTCACCGAAATATCGTGTCTGACCTGACGTTTTACTATATTAGCTATATTGTGCAACTCGTGCTCACTCTACAGGCTACAATTGTTTACAGATTCTTTTGATTTTTATTTTGTATGTCAATGTCATTATGAAGATGATCCCTATCGATTTTCGCGATGATCGGATAATATTTCACCGAAATATCGTGACATTTCACTCTATTAGCTATATTGTGCTACCCTGTAGTCACTAAAGACTGTTTAATCATTTCTGACAGCTGCCAGTGGGCGTATGTTACCTTGCCTGGCAAGCTATCTTTTTCCAAAACAATGGTCTATTAAATTTTTGTAGGCAATGACTTTGACAGACGAAAATCTGACCAACCATATGATATCCATCCACCATCAGATGAGTTCTTTCCCCTTACAAGAGCACGATCAGTTCCATATCAACTACAGTATACTCAACAACCACTTCTACCACCTAAACCACCACAATATAGTGGTAATTACCAACAACAGCCTACACCTATAGCCCAATCCACACCATTTCATACAAATCCATACAACGATTCAGGATTTGTACCAAGCTATGGTTCCAGTCTCCCAAATATCAATATATCAGATCCAAAGATGGGCAACAAATTGTCCACAAATGCGTATGCTGGTTCAACCTATCCTGCAAATTTCACTACAAATAATTTTGGACCAGTGGAAAATCATTATGAGGTATGTTTTCGCCCTGCCATTAAGGGACAGGAAAACCTGGAAAGGTTCATTTCAAAGCATTGATCAATACATACAGATAAGTCTGAATCCCAAGCGGTTGGTTCTAAACATTACGTCATTTGCTTGGTTACGTCAAGCAAATGGCGGCTGTGGGTTCAATTCTTGATTGGCATGTGATAGTCCGATGACCTTGAATAAGTCATCTTCACACATAATTCCAGTCGACACAGGTGTAAATGGGTACGGGAAAGATCAATGCCAAGAGGTTTGGCCAAGGACCAGCTGGTAGAAAGGATCCTTAACTGTGAACCTGTGTTGTTATCCTTGTAAAATATAGTTTCTTTTCAGAGCAATGACAATGCAAATTTTATCACAGGCTTCTTAAGTCATCAAAGTCAAAAACTTTGCTTTGGACATGCTGGTTGACAGTGAATTCTAGACTTCTGCTAATTGCTTGCTTTCAGCTCAAGAAACAAAATGAAGATTTAAAAGAAGAGCTTGATTTTATAAGAACCCAGATGGCAAATCAAAGCAGTGAACTCAATTACTGTAAGTTCTTTATCTATTATTTTTGTTTACTGAAAAGGTATCTTGTTTTTTGGATGGTATATTGAACTTTAGGCCACTATGCTACCAACTATGGATTTTAAAGATCCCTCAACAAACGGAAATCAGAAAATAAAAGGCTAATGGCATTGTCCTGGCATAATCTCATTGTTTGCTGGATTGCATTGTCCTGGCAAAATCTCATTGGTCACTGGATGGCATTGTTCTGGCAAAATCTCATTGCTCACTGGATGGCATTGTCCTGGAAAAATCTCATCGCTCACTGGATGGCATTGTCATAGAAAAATTTCATTGCTCACTGGATGGCATTGTCCTGGAAAAATTTCATTGCTCACTGGATAGCATTGTCCTGGAAAAATCTCATTGCTCACTGGATGGCATTGTCATAGAAAAATTTCATTGCTCTCCAATTTGCAATTTATCGTTTAAAACTCCATTTCATGTACCAGTAGTCACATTTTCCTGCTCACATGTTTCGGATATATATTCCTCAACAGGACATGTGGTTTTGAAATAAGGGTCACCCCGAGATATTTGGGCAAAGTGAGCAATGAGATTCTGACTATATTTGTTTCCTTCTTTTGATTTGAATGTGGTGGGAAGGGGATGTTCCATACACTTCAGACGTCTGTTGTATAAAACAGTTTTTATCAGACTTCTCTGTTAATAATAAGATTGCTAGAAACGGGTATGGATATGATTGAAGCTGAAAAGACCCTAATCAAATACTAGTTCAATATTGACATAAGATAATATGAGTTTTATGAAAGAGAGGTAGTTCAGGTAGAAATTTCTCTCATAATGATAAATATACAATCTGAACAGTCCAATATATTTTATCATGAAATAATACTAGAAAGGAAATGAAATAATAGTGTTGTATATTCTACTTTTCAATGTGTAAAGGGCCTAAAAAAAAAAGAAGGGACAATGCCATGTGGTGTACAATTAGAGAAAATGATGTTGTCATGGTAGCCGATTTTCATCTGTATTGGGATTTTTGTTATGCTCCGATCTTGCGTTAACATTACATTTGAGACAAGACACTTTTTCCATGTAAGCCATCTATCCTGAATCACTGACAGAGGGAAAATAATTGAAAATCTGAAGGCACAATTTGAACTACGTAGTAACTTCTTGAGCTAAAGTGATTGAATGCTCACATTAAAGCAGTAATGAGCACTTTACTAATCTCAATAATCTTAATCTTAAGTGAGCACCAGAAAGAATAACAGGACTGAATGCAATCATTAATTTGGGACATAGGTCAATCTCTGTAAGTTTCAATCTCGGTAAGTTTCTACATCTGTTAAGTTGTTTAAGATCCATGTCCTTTGTTGAAGCACAAAGATTCGGTAATTTTATAATGTCCACAATTTTATGGTTCTTTAAAAAATGTCCACAACTAATTGGTTTAGGAGGTTCAACGAAACAGGATGTGAACCCCTTACCTCTTCCACAACCTATGTTTCTATGATAATTATTTGTGTCTGGGGTATTGTACAAAAATATGAATGAGATAATGAGTAGAATATTAAATGGTATTAAACATTTGTAGAACTGTCTACCTTGTAAGATTTTCTCTCTGTATCACCTGTGATTAAGATTGTATTTTACCTAACTTGAGTTATATTGACACTGGTATCCTAAACCTACTCTATCTAATAATAATAAACTCTCAGTTTCTTAACTAGAATATTTACCTGAAATTATAAATGTACTATGAATTAAAAAAGAATTAAGACCTGAATAAGCAGCATAAAATAAGTTCTATACTATTGTCCGAGTTCTATTCGTACTATAAAAGTTTGAATCACAAAGAAAAAAATTTTGAAGAAGCAGCAAAGAAGTTTTTTGAAAGAACATTTTTATGATGTAATTATGAAATATAGAATTATACTGAAAAAAAAATCCCAACTAACATTCACTGACTTGTAATATATTCTACATTGCATGGAGGAACTTGTTGAAAATTCCATTTGATTTTTTTAGATAAGGCAATGTGGGATGAATACTGTAAAAAAGAAGTATCAGTTGATGATATATTCAATATTATGAAAGAAAAGTAAGATATTTAACAGTTTGTTATCGACGATATATCACAATTTAAGTTAAATTGAGGCAAAGAGGGGTCTGGGTGGGTTTGAAATAGGTTGGATGCAGAAAGAGATTGATTGTTGAGACTGAGGACCACAGAATTGTTAAGGGGGTTTGCTCACAGGCAAGCTACTCTGCTCAGTAATATTTTAAATTTTCATTGTTTTTTTTAAAGGGGAACAGTTGGCATTTTCAGGGATTGATTTGGGTCTTTAATAGTCTTAAGAAGTACTAAAACGCACGAATAATAATCCCTTCAAATATACCTCAAACTAGAAATTTCACTGTCTATTTCTATATATGTGTTTTCTATATATGGCATAGTCTCACTAAAATTCGAATTTTTAACTTTCAAACATGAATAATTATGGATACACATGGATTTGAAGGCTCAAATTTCGACGATGAGCTGTGAACACTATTATTGATTATGTAAGCTAAAAAAATTCCTGTTTCTGAAACTAAGGTATGATTGGTCGAACAGATAGTGAAAGGTGCTCCATTAAATTATATTTTTCAAAGTAAATCCTTTGAATATAAGTAATATTTTTAATTTTTATTTTGAGGATACCCTACTTTAACTGATTTTCAGATCTGAGAGAAATGGATCATGGAAGGGTAAAGATGGTCAAGACAAGTTAGAAAGCCCTTCAGATAAAACAAACTTCAGTTCCTCAGAACCAGTAAGTATATTTAAAGGCCAACAGTCTAAAATCTAAAAGATTGAGTGGAAAGACAAAAGCAAAATTGTCATATAATTACAGAAACATGTTTTTTTTACGAAATATCACAATTCTAGGAAAGATATCAATTGAATACTTCCTCATATGAAAATTTCATTAGCTGCTACCAGTATGTGTCAAGTGAAAATTTGTCAAAAAACTTTAAGGTATCATTTATGCAACTAAATGTTCAAGTTATTTCAGATTAAGTTTGCTTTATTTAATCCATGGTTTAGGGGTAGGAGGTTAGGGGGTTTGGTTAAATCAGATCATTCTGTAATAAAACATTGGTACAGCCTTGAATCAATCAATATTTAGGAAACATATGAAGTGCTATATTTGATCAAAATTTTATCGAACTAAACGCTTAAATAATGTAATGTCAGATTAAGTTAGCTTTATTTATTTCACTGTTTTGAAGGGCGTAAGATTTACATTTAGGGTTTGGTTAAATCAGACCATATTGTAATAGAACATTGATACAGGTCACAGGATGCAGTTGAAGGTGCAGTTGAAGTAATATAACTTCTTTATTGTAGATAAAAAAAGATCTCATTTGCAACTTCATTAATTTTCTCCCAAAAGCCAAAAGATGTCAAAGTTTTTATAATAAGATCTAACATGTTGCTAAGTGACACACATGTTATTCACACTTTTTACATTCACACCAAATGACAAAAAGATAAAAGGGAAAAACTCATTAGAACAACTTCATTCCTTTATCACTAGTGGGAAAAAAGACATTGATATATTGTCGGCATGATTTCATTAAAATATTCACCGAGTTCATAATAGAAAAGGTACACAACTTGTACATTTACTGGCAAGATAGATGGGTGTTGACATAATGATTTCAATTAACGGCCATACAGAGTAAACACTTGTATTTCTTGATTAACTGTTCTTTTTCAAATCATGGTCAGTCCAATCTCAGCCAATATTTCTGTCCTCGACTAAGTGACTATTAGGGTAAACATGGTCGTGTCGGTTGTCTATTGTTCCAACCCATTATCTAGCGGAAAAGTCATCTCCTGCACATCGTCAGTTCTTATCCTGTATTTCACCATTTAATTGGCTGTAACATACAGTCTTGATTTAACCTTTGACCACAAAAATAATTTGACCATATCTAGCAACGCCATACCCGAGTCAATTTCCACCATCATCAAATTAATAAAGCAAGATTTTTGTTGAATTGATACAAGTGTTGACTTAAAGGAGAATTTGAATCCTGCTAGCCACTCCTCACTATGGTGAACTGAAATTGGTGGCAAGTGACTCCCACTTTCAGGTCTAATTAAAATGGAGGCAAAGCTTTTCACTTTACACTGTTAATCAAATAAATAGGTCTATCCAAACAAGTTTATTAATTTAGGTAAAATCAAGGGAGCCATGGAAGTTGCTGTTACTCAGGATGTGTTTTGAATGATTGTGGTGGGTCTGGTCACACCTATTTGTGATGTAGTGGTTGTTTACAGTACTGTTTGAATCCCAGTGTAAATTAGTTTTAGTGGTCATAGTCACCAACCTTGTCCTAATCATGCACCAAATTGTTTTTGCTGAAAATCACACCCTGACTTACAACAAACTTCAGTACTAGCTTAAACAATTCAGTTGTCTGAAGTTTAAGACTACTAGGTTACTAGCTGAAATGGTTCAGTTGTCTGAAACGATTCAGTTGTATGAAGTTTAAAGACTACTAGGTTACTAGCTGAAGTGGTTCAGTTGTCTGAAGATCACATTTGAGTAACAATAAACTTCAGTAGGGTTACTAGATGAAATGGTTCAGTTGTCTGAAGATCACACTTGAGTAACAATAAACTTCAGTATGGTTACTAGCTGAAGTGGTTCAGTTGTCTGAAGATCACATTTGAGTAACAATAAACTTCAGTAGGGTTACTAGATGAAATGGTTCAGTTGTCTGAAGATCACACTTGAGTAACAATAAACTTCAGTATGGTTACTAGATGAAATGGTTCAGTTGTCTGAAGATCACACTTGAGTAACAATAAACTTCAGTATGGTTACTAGCTGAAATGCGTCAGTTGTCTGAAGACCACACTCTGGGTAACAACAAACTTGAGAAGGGTTACTCGCTGAAATGGTTCAGTTGTCTGAAGATCACATTCTGGTTTACAACAAACTTAAGTAGGGATTTTAGCTTAAATGGTGCTAGATCACACTCTAAACTTCAATGATATTGTAAGAAATTTGTGGTATTTCAGGATGATGAATCAAAAGAAGAAATATATGATGTACACAAGAGATTTAATCATGCTTATAAAGAGAAAAATAGAAGAAAAAAAGAAATAATTGAATCCAGAATGAAAATTTTAATACAACAACGAAATTATTTTCAAATGCAGGTAAGAAATTATTATAGTAAAGGTTCTCTTTTAAATAATGGTGTTTTGCATCTCAAATCTTAATTTCTTGCTCAAATTGTTTTGATAATTTTTTTTGTTTTTTTTTTATAAGCCTGAAAAAAGTAATGATAGTTGCAGAAAGACATTGTGTTTTAAAAAATTCTTGTAAAAGATCTCTCGACGGTTTGAAATAAAAAAAATAGTAGATAAATCCAGCTGTCCTGGAAAAATTGTCATAATTGCACACTGCATGGCATTGCAAACTCATTTGGCCGGATAGGTGCTGATAATTAAATACAAATTTGGGTTTTTTTTCATAACGTTCAATTGAAATATATATATTGTAGGTTAAACAACTGCAACAAGAATTACTAATGGCAAAAATGAGAAAAAATGACGTAAGTTCACATGCTTTTTATATAAATTCATTTCTTAAAAATTGAATATCAATAGGTCATAGCACTTAATATTTTTTTTATTTTCTCAAACCCGTCATTCTTCTTGAATATATTTCAAGCCTGAAATCATCAAATTTCTGTCTTCATTAAGGTGCAGAAGTCTTGGTTTTCATTTGAATGTACAGTTATGATTTTCACCTTGCAGTGTTCGTACATGTTGAAACTGTGGTCTTTAACAAACAAGCCTTGTGTAACTTAACCATGGTAAGAATTCTTCATCAAAGGAACACAAGGCTTAAAGGTTTGACAGAGTAAAGACATTCACATACACATAGTATTAAGGCAAGCTAGTTCTGATCTTTAAACATATGATAGGAATGCTTAGTAAATTTTTACAGTTTCACCTAGTCCTAACTTTAAGATTTGACACCATATACCTAATTTACTTTTGATTTACAACTACAACTTTAGTTCCTGTGGCCATTTTTACTCTTTAAACCTTTACAATTTAAGTGCAAATCCTCTGTTTTAAGTGTTTTTCAGAACAATGTACTAACTTGAAAAAGGTGTGGTTAAATTCACTTTTCTTTCAAAGTTGAAGTTGATCTTTCAAGTACAAATTTTGGGGTTTTGAACTAAATTTTTGGAATTACTGTTTTCGCGAGTTCATTGTTTTTTCATATTTTGCCATTTTTATTTAAAAAGTGAATTTGTATATAAACTACAAAACAGTACTGTTAATCTTAAAATGACTTTGTGTTGATAAATATATAAATTTAACACATTTCTCTCCTAGAAATTGCAACCAAAAATTTTTTGACTGAAATTGTCCTATGTGAAAACACAATCTAAAATGAAAATGTGTGCAAATGTTTATGTTTTTATCAATGCAAAAATATTCTTATATTAACAGTACTATTTTGATGCTGATATTTCTATTCTTATACAACTAATCGCTAAAGTGTGCTCTACCAATGATCATGTGAAGATTTATGTCAAAATATTTAAAATTTTAGGTTGATTAACAGTATTCATGGGAGCAATAAAAAAAAAACTACTATCTGTAAATTACCTTTATTGGAAAATCATTTTTTACTAAATTTTATGTGAATATGTGCTTCAAAATATTAATGAAAGTAACTTGACAATTGAAATAAGCACACTTCACACAAAAATGTTTCAAATTTGAAAATAAGAATAGTAATTGCTTCTACAGTTGAATTTTTATCAACACAAAGTCATTCTCACACTTACTATTACTCTTTACCATTGTCCATTACCATCATAAAAATTACTAACATAACATAGTACATTATAACAGTATAAAGTTATAAAAGTTAAAATAACAAGCAGATTCTATATATTATGTTATAGTGAGGGGTGTTACCATGTCTTTTCTCATTAAAATTTATTGTCAACCTGGTGGTATTTTATGAATTATTCAATGACTTGACCCATCTGCTCAATTAGTTTTATTTTGACTTTTTAAGTAGGAGAGCAAGTTGACGAAATCTCCTTGGTCAGGCACACCCAATGTTTAAGAGGCCATTGTCAATGAAATTTCTCTTTCTAGAACAATTGTTGAAGGTTTTAGTTGCTTGATAACAGTTGTTTGACCACTGCTAGTTGCACTTCTGGCCTTCAATCTAACCTCCTTTCTAACGGTCAGATGATTTAATGAGAGTCTTATTATTAAGCCTATAAATGACCGCTCTTAGGTGGACAAAGGTCAGTGTTTGGAGAGAGTGGACAAAGTGGTCATTGAGCAAATTTGATATGGGAAGACAACTGATGTTAAATTTTGGTTTGGAGTCTCGGAAGTTGACAAACATCTGGAATCTAATTATGACTATCTTTTCACTTTCAATAGTGTCATATTCCAAGCTTGGATTATATTTTGGTCTTTCTGAAAATCTTTAAACTTCTCTTTTATTGACTGCCCTTTAAGATTTCTGATGATGGTGGGTGGTCTTTTTCACGTCTGCGATGTTTACAACCCTTTAAGGAATGGGAATGAGTCTTGGAATCAATCGTGGCAAAGGTTGTGATAGTGCTGTTGAATTTTTTCAATTGTGTTTCCCCTTCCCTGATACAAATAGGAGAGGCAAGACAATGATCATTGAGCTATCTAACTGCTTAAAAAATTCTGTTGGTCTCAATTTGATGAAATAAGTTTCTTAACTTCTGTATTGTTAATATGATCTAAGACCAGATTAGTAAATTCCTTTGCATTTACCAAAATTGAAACAAAAAAAACTACAATAGTAACCTACATTTCAAGTTCTCATTCATTCACTACTGCCAATGTCAATCAATTGAAAACAATCCTTTACCAAATATACACTGGAAGTGTTAAATATTTACCAAACAAACCTGAGAAAATTCCTAGAAAAAAATACTGAGAACTCTTAAAGTAGTTTATTTAATATTTTCATAATTCTCCTCAATGAAAATGATATTTGAGTTTTTTCTCGTATTGTTTGTATTTTTTCAGCAAGTAGAAGACAGTGAATATTGACAGAAATTAGCCTCACTGTCTTGTTGAGTAAATTTGTTTATTGTTTAACTTGTGAACACATCACATATGTAAATATACATAGTTAACACCCAGTGATGACACTAGCAATCACATGTGATAACAAATACCAAAAGAAATAGCTATTTGATAGCCTCCAAATATGAAGAGTTCTTCATGAATTATCAATATTTTGACCAGATTGTCAATGTTTTCTTTAACTGTTATCTCATACACTATTTGTCTGATAGTCAATGAATAAAATATAATAAACATAACCAACCAATAGACATTAGAAAGCCCCAGCACAGGTATTAAATGCCCACTACTCAACCATTAAAATTAATAAATAATAAATAAATCAATATTATCTAACTTTTTTAAAACATAAAGCTAGCTGTCATTCACAATGTCATGTGATTGTGACATTCTTAACAATTAAGCGGGCCACTGAATAGGAAATTAAGCCAGTGCTGATTGGATGAAAAAGTGGGTTATATATGGAACATTGTTACTGCAAAACCTGTAAAAACATTATACATATGTATTATTGGCATTTATAATGTAAAAACATATATACACATGTATTATTGACATGTCTTATAAAAAAACAAAATACATATCATTGCCATGTGTTGTATAAAAACATAATACATATGGATTATTGGCAAGTATTATATCATAAAAACATATGTATTATTGACAATTAATATAAAAACATAATACACATTTTGTTATGGTATGTATTATATAAAAACATAATACACATGTATTATTGGTAAGTATTATATAAAGAAAATAATACATAATTATTACTAACATGTATTAATATAAAAAACATATGTATTATTGACATGGTTTAATTCAAAAAAATAATGCATATGTATATTTGACATGTGTTATATAAAAAGATAACACATACTTATTATTGGCATCTGTTATATAAAAATAAAATAATAGAGAATGTGGAGGTTTGAAAACTGTTAATTGTCAATATGTAACTAGTGTATCTTGTGTAAATTTGTTTTTTCTTATCACTGCTATCATTTGTCTAACTATATCAACTTTAGAAGAGTTTATAAAAGCTTAACCCCTACCACAATCTATTTATTCTCTTACTATTTCAACACATTGTTTAAGTCTTTTGTCTACAAGATAGTATATATGTTAAGGTTATCATTTTTCATGTTTATATTTCAATAACTTATCACTTTCAATTTATCAGTTAAATTTACCTCCAATGATTTACCTCATCTAGTTTCTTTATGTTTTGATTTTACACGAGTTCTCCTGATGCTGTCAATGAATCCTCTAGATATAAAATGGAGTCGAACTTTCAAATGTTTGGGTTTATAGAGAAGTAAGCTTACTCACTGAACTGTAGTGAAGAGTGAATAATAAAAATATTCTCCATTTACGGATACCAGTAATCTTGACTGAAACCTCAATAAACAAGAATACATACATGTGCGGTGTTCTATAAGCTTATAATATTGGAAATATAGGGATTTTGTTAGTTAGTGCCTCTTTATACCAAGAATTGGTATTTGACAGACCACAGTAGAAAATATTAATATTCAAAGACAAAGACTTCAGTGTTCATAGCTCATTTTGCAGTAACATAACATTTCAGCGCACAATCATGACAGACACAAAGTTGGGTAAAAAATTGGTCAGGTTTTTGGACTGTGTCACAAAAGCAGGTTGTTTTTTTTTTATCTGTAACTCAGGATCCAGGTTAAAAACATTAGAAATACCAAACAAGAGATGTTGCCAATAATTTAGTATCCATCAGAAGTGATATTTATAACCATTGATAATATTATATAAATCATGTTATATCTTCACTTGAAACACATCAAAGCTAGTTTGATCACAGAACTTTTCTATACAACTTGACATGCTATAATTTATGAACATATTTTAATATCTGTGTTCTCAATATAATTTCTCTATCGCCAATAACTAAATTTTGCTTTTGCTTGTAGATAAGATGATTGAATCTTCGAAACATAATGCTTAAGTTATGATTAACTTAATACTAACGTTTTGATGAACACAATACTAAAGTTTTGATGAACACAATACTTATGTTTTGATGAACACAATAGTAAAGTTTTGATGAACACAATACTAATGTTTTGATGAACACAATACTAAAGTTTTGATGAACACAATACTAAAGTTTTGATGAACACAATACTAAAGTTTTGATGAACACAATACTAAAGTTTTGATGAACACAATAGTAAAGTTTTGATGAACACAATAGTAAAGTTTTGATAAACACAATATTAAAATTTTGATGAACACAGTACTAAAGTTTTGATGAACAAAATACTTATGTTTTGATAAACACAATAGTAATGTTTTGATAAACACAATAGTAAAGTTTTGATGAACACAATAGTAAATTTTTGATGAACACAATACTAAAGTTTTGATGAACACAATACTTATGTTTTGATGAACACAATAGTAATGTTTTGATGAACACAATACTAATGTTTTGATGAACACAATACTAAAGGTTTGATGAACACAATACTTATGTTTTGATGAACACAATAGTAAAGTTTTGATGAACACAATATTAAAATTTTGATGAACACAATAGTAAAGTTTTGAAGAACACAATACTAATGTTTTGATGAACACAATACTTATGTTTTGATGAACACAATAGTAAATTTTTGATGAACACAATACTAAAGTTTTGATGAACATAATACTTATGTTTTGATGAACACAATACTAATGTTTTAATGAAGAGAATACTAAAGTTTTGATGAACACAGTTTCTAAATCGTGATGAACACAGTTTCTAAATCGTGATGAACACAGTTTCTAAATCGTGCTCAGTCACAGAACTGATCTCATAAGGCAAAAATTTGGCTGAATTTGTATGAGTAGTATGTTATATAGACTTAGAAAAATGAGAATTATCTCTCTAGAATTATATATTTAATTAATATGGTTAATCAAATTGAAAACACTTGGTGAACCAAAACACCACACCCAAATTAGTTGTGTATCTTCTTAACCTACATGGATAAATAGGGGATAATCTATCAAGTTCATCTCAAACATCCACTTAATCAATCAAGCTAATGTTGATTATTGATAACTTAATATTGATCAGTCAATATTGAAACAAAGATAATCAATCAAAATTAATTAATTCCCTCATATTATAGCCCTGCCTGCTTCTAATTGAAAAATCTCATACATTATGTTCAATGTTCTTATCTTCAAATTACCACTGGTACATTTTACTAGCACTCAATATAACAAAACAACATATAACTTGTTTTTTACAAAGTTAATTGACAATTTAACACAAAGTTCAAGTCCATTTCTCAAAAAGCTATTTAATTTTTACTGAAAGTCTGATTATAAACACAAAAAATTTTCACAGAATACATTTTTTACTGCAAGATATTAGAAGAATTTTGGGCTTAAATTTGATATCACAAAATGATTCATTTATTTCATTGACATCCATTTAAGGATAAAAATTTCTGTCAATTCATATTTTGTATAGGTAAATAATGACATCTTTGGGCGATAAACACTTCATATAAGGATATAAGAATGCATTTGGGTTTTTTGAATAATTCAAAATTACATTTCCTTTTTACAATTTTTAAGTTTTTCTCTGTTTCTGACTCATTCTTAAAGAAATACTACGTCTTAGAATGAACATAAAATTTAAGAATTTTAGACTTGGCCAATAAGAGCATATATTCATCAGTAGATATACCTGATGTCATAAATAACATAACAGGATCCTTATATAATCTGATAAATCCAAAAAACTTAGTAATTATCCATAAATATGCAATTAACTTTTAAAAAATGCTTAATAGATTAAGCATTTTTCAATAATTACTTAGTTTTATGAATTTTTCAATTTCCAGATTTTACAGGGATTATGTTGTAACTTTATGATACCAGGTAAGTTCTTAGTTCACTGATGAATATATACTCATATTGACCATTCTTAAGAATTAAATTTTATGTTCATTCTAAGACGTAGTATCACTTTAAATTATTACAAAAGTAAAAATTTCTATTCATTTATTTATTTTAAAAAAGGTAACATATTGTGATGAAAAAATATAATACCAGCGCCACATTCTTTTCAATTTTTTACAATTTTTGTTCGTCTTCAAGTACCTATTATGACAACTAGATTTACATAATGCTTGATTTGCAACTGAATGCATAACATATATGGCATGTGCATGAAAAAATGGTTGTACAACAGACAAGTATTAAACGGTTATTGCTATGATATTATTTCTCATGGATAATCCACAAAGCATGAGTAAAATCTCTTTGGTAGATATTTTTTTATTGGTGCTTTCAAACAATTTTTGCAATTCTGTCCTATTAAAGATAAAAAAAATTATTAAATTTTCTGTGAATATACTCAAAACACTTTGGGATATAAATTTAAAAAATGCAATCATCACTCCAATTTAATAAAAATGTTATTAAATTATGAAAATTTAACTTTTATGAAAATTTGACTGTTAAATTGCCTTTAATTCATGAGTCTTGTTTGTTCCGTTTGAAATAGAAGAGATAGTAAGAGCAGGAAATTAAAAGGATTTGTGTGAATCTCTAAACCCACGATACAAAATGCAACTCATTAAAGTCATAAGGGTTCATTGGAAGATATAAGTGAATCCTGCAAATCTTCTGAAGCTTTTACGAAAATCATGTGGGCAAAATTGCTTTGAAATTTGCACTAGAGTAAACAGAGTTAGTGGAAGCTAAGCGTGTGAATCAATTTAACGTGATAATGTGAGAGGCCTTCCAGATTCGTTTACTCTCCATAACATATTTTCAGTGTTTGTTTTGCATGCTGTAGCATATTAATGATAATACTGACTCGATGCTTGGAATTCGATCCTTTTTTTTGAAACAAAAGACTTGGAAGAACAATGATATTAACTTGATCAAATTTAAATTTTCCCATTCTTTCCTGAAACAGGATTTCTTTTTTTCTAGCTTTCTTATTACTATTTGTAGCATTGAATTAGCCCCTTCCACAAATTGGTTATGTTTTATTAATTGATATTTTAAAGGAAATACATAACTTATATATATTTTATTTTTTAGACTGCATGTTCAATGACAGAATTAGAGGAAGATTTCAATAATTTAAGATTAACACACAGGTAAATATATATGTATTTGAATTTTTGTTTTAAATTTTTACAAAGTCTTTTGGCTGCAAGGTTTTACCGAGGCCATGCCTACTTAGGTTTCAAAGTTACCGGCAATAGGTGACAGACATTGACTTAAAAGATGACTTTACCAAATAAAAGGCATCCGGCTTAGGGTGATTCACAAAGTCTGAAAAATAATTGACTAACATGATGACTTTACCAAATAAAAGGCAATAGCCTTAGGTGATTTACCTAGTCACAGATATTGACTAGAAAGATGACTTTATCAAGTAAAACACATAGCCTTTAGGTGATTAGCCATAGCAAAGACATTTACTAACCAGATAACTTAACCAAGGTAAAGCCAATAGTCTTGGCTGAATTATTCAGTCACAGACATTGACTAACAAGATGACTTGACCATGTTAGAGGCAATGGCCTTAGGTGATTTGCCACAGACATTCACTAAAAAGATGACTTTATCAAGTAAAAGGCAATAGTCTTGGCCATAACAAAGACATTTACTAACCAAGTAACTTAACCAAAGTAAAGTCATTAGTCTTGGCTGATTTATACAGCATTGACAGTCACAGACATTGACTAACAAAATGATTTTACAAAGTAAATGACAATGGCTTTTATGTCATTTACCTTGTTCTAAGCCTGACAAAGACATTTACTAACCAGATAACTTAACCAGGTAAAGGCAATAGTCTTGGTTGACTTACAAAGTCACAGATATTGACTAACAAGATGACTATGGCTATATGTAGATGTAAAAAATGTATGCACAGTTCTAGTGTAGTGTACTTAATATTTATTACTGTATAAAATGTGCTGTCACCTTAATAAACCTTTTATAATAATATTCAGATATCAATAAGCCTTGGGAGGTATAGAGTGAAATTTGAGCCGATATCTTCACTGAGGTTGAATTTGAGTTTGAAATTATTGTGGGAGCGAAGTTTACATAAACTTGATCACCCTTTACCAGACTCAATATATCTGTATAGAATAGAAATGATTAAAGTAAGAGAGACGTGTAAATTTTATAGAGGGGTTGATATAACAGTAATCGTACCAGTCTCTTAGTTGATATCAGGTCAAAGTAGATTTAAGTTACAATTAACATTTTAAATTTCAACAGCCCATGTGTTATATTACTCATTCTAAGAGATTTATATTCATGTCTGTCTTACTTATCTATATTGATAATTTTAAATATTATAAAGATATCATTTTTAAAAAATTACACTAATAATTCTATAAGAGAATGACTTCAGTAACTGAAAATTTCCTTAATTGTACAAGAGATTGTTTTTTTGGGTTTAATTTGAAAGAGCTACAGGTAATAAAAAATCATCCGCTCAAACAATATTATAAAGGGCTGCATCACTGTGACCATATTAACAAGCACATAATGTTTTCAGCTCTGTTTTAAAATATTGTAGTAAACTAATCTTATCAAGCATTCCCAATTTTTCATGATTTGGTTTTCTAAAACATTCATTGTGTTTTTCAGCATGTTAACCTACGAATTTTTTCCTGAAGACAAAGAAAAACCAGCATCTGGTAAACTGAATAATACCTGATACCATAAACACCTTCTATCTAAAAACAGTGCTAAAAATATTGACTCTGAATTCCAGCAATATAAGTATGCCAATGTGACATACATATTATATGTTTACTTTAAGAGATGACTTACAATGGTATCAGTCTACCTTTCTGAAAAGTCTATATGTGTTTGTTATGCTTCCATTTGTTTGTCTTTCATATGGTCTTCCATATTTTTGTAACAAAAAAAAATCTACAAGAAGCAATATTCAGCACAATTGTTTTATATTATTTCAATCAATCTATCTGGATGCTGTATGCTGAGTTACGAATCTAGTCGCGATTTAGTATAAGATGTTCATGAAGTCTAAAGACCGAAAGCAGAGTCATAGTGTATTGAATTTTGAATAAACATGACATGTGACTTTCTGAAAATGTATTAGGGTAGTCCAAAACATCCAGGACAATATCCCAGCGGAAAAGTCCCTTCTGGCTGAAAGAGAGGAAACATTTTCGGTCTAGGATACAGGTAGCTGAGTTTTCTCAGCTGATGACATTACTTTGGTTATTAAGATTGCTATGGCTCAGTAGATTCAGTATGAAGGTATGCAGGTTCTAATGATGTTGGAATAAGGGCAAGTATTTTAAGAGAATATAAAGTTGCTGTGTTGAAAGTCGAGAGCAGAAACAAAACATTTGATAACAACTTGATTTACATTAATCAAACAATCCGTCAGAATCAAGTAAATAATAAAAACTTTGACCTCAACATCAAGTGCTCGCTACCTATGACATTTACTATTTAATGAATTTCGGTGTCATTTTATCAAAGGTAAATTAAATGGTAGATCATTCAAACGACCCAGATCTGTGCTAATTATTTTGTTTCATCTTGGTTGTAGAGTTCCTTTTACCTCTTCACGCCCTGTCGTGCCAGCGACAAAGCTCAACAACATCTTAATTAAAATGCCAGACATCAAATCAAGTACAATTTACCTATATGGATCTGACATCTAAAGTAGAGTTCTGCTAACGCCCCTGATGGACCTCCCAACAAAATAGATATTTTTAATAAATGAATAAACCAAGTACAAGCGATCCGAACCGCTAGACGAAACCTGAAATCCACAGCTTTCTATCCTTTGGAAGTGGACGAAGCTGGAGCTTCTGATTTTGAGTCTTCTGGATTGGATTCAGCATCGAAAAACAGGTGGCATAATTTGAGTCAAGAAAACCAGGTGGCTGAAATATCTTAGTTAAAGTGGACTGAAACTACATACTGTGATAATAGACTATAGAGGACAGTGAAAAGGAAAAAACACTCAATTTCATCTTCAATAAATTAATGCAGATTTATATATTGAAAAACTACTGACTCATCATCACCAATGAATTGCAGTTTTCATTTAAAACCAAATTACACCAATGTATGTATCCTTCAATTGAATCATAAAAAAACGTTTTTTACGGAGTACTTTGATATTATTGTTTTGTACAAAGATCATAGGAAAATGCATTTAGTTCGCGTAATCCATTGGTCTTTGGTCCAAGACTAATGCCAATGGGTAAAAAATTACCTCAGCCCCATATCGATTTGTGATTAAAAAATCTCATCGGTTTGTAGAAATCCATATAACGGGAAATTGACCAAATTGAAGTTAATACGATCAATCCGGTGGTCGCAGCTTTTGCTAAAAAGGAGAATACGAACAACTGATATTTTTCAGTCGTCCTTGCTCTCTCAGATGCCTCCTGTTGTCAAAAATCCAGTCGTTCTCGGCTTCTGACAGATGCAAGGTCTCCTCGACCCAATAAAACAAATGTAATCTGAAGGTTTCTATAGGGAGGAGATGTAAGGGTCAATCGCTATAGAGTTGATATGAAAGCCAGTCTAATCTGTCTGATTAACAGTCTTTAACACGTCTTATACCTGAAAAGATTAGTTACCAAAACGTGATGACAGAATGGTAATGAACATGTTTCTTTTTTGACCCTTAAAACTTTAGTGATAGTGAAATAGAAGTCTATCCTAATCCAATATTACTTTGAAAACTCTTCCAAGTAATCTGGGTTTAACCGATATTTTGATGTGAACAATCCGGTCAATTGCCATTCACTCAATAGACAACTCTTACATGAGCTTTGGCCGAAATGGTTGAAAGGACAAAGAACATTATGACCATACACTGAGCAGAAATCATAATTTCAGATGCTTACAGTCCTAAAGTTTTCATGTTATATTTTCTACTATATCTTCCACATCAATACCAGCGCCATTTATCAGTACATTTACTAATCGAACGTTGTTTCTATCCGTGGCTTAACTACTATAGTGACTGGTTAACCCAAGTCCACGGGCCCCCACCTCTAAAGGGGTCCCACTACCAGACAAAATTACAAAATTTTAAAAACAATTTAACATGCATGAAATTGATTTACAGAGTGGTCTCAGAATGCACGAGAGGATATGTTTAAAATTAATTTCCAGGGGCTCAACTCACTGAAGTCCACAGTTTTTACGATTCGTTCTTTTTGCAAGCCGACATTCGTGAAAATTAACTATAAGAGGTAGGTAAGAGTCAGTGATCTTCGAACTAGGTATTTATCAGTCGCACGATGAAACCAATCTTTCTTCACTCGGTAAATCTTGAACTGTTTAATCTATATCAACATTAGGGCATTCTATTTAATTACATTCAAAATTCTTAACAACACTTCCACATCTTCAACTTTCCATTTCTTTATCTGGCTTTCTTTATTTTTGACACTTCTAGGACAAATGATCTGAACGCCGAAAACAAATCTATCCAAATAGATATGTTTAAATCTTATCACCATTTCTCAATTTCTTGTTATCTTCTCAAATTTGTTCTTGGATGCAACGATAAGCAAATGTCGATTTCCTTGTTTTCGAACTACATTTTTCTGGCGTGTTTGTAAATTGTTCGGCAAGCAGGAGAATAAACAAAGTGATGTCAAAAAGAAAAAGAGACATAAAATAATGAAGAAAATCGGATCTGTTGTGAGATAGCTATTCCAGCGATTCAGAAACGTTGTTTGTATTCTAAAAATTGTCGATGGCGACTGAAAGTTGGGTTCAGGGAAAGTTATGATAGGTCGTTAATCTCAAAAGTATTTGACGGTGCAGTATGTTTGAATTCGGGTCCGGGAAGCTTGTGTTAACTATTGTTGGAACAGTATTTAAGTTGTTTTCTCACAGACTTTTAAAACAATGCTCTATTGTTTGTCCTACTGGACTGTGTCCAATTCCTCAAAACTCCACAGCATTTTGTCATGAACCCATCGAGAAAAATGCTACGTTTGTTTGTCAGACGCCAATCGGTAGTGGAAAACTTAGAGAGCAATTGATCTGAATTTGTTGACATAGAAACAATTCAAGCCTTACCGGTCGACAACCAGACTCTGAAACTTTCGTCTCATTTCACATTCCCCAACCTCTTTTTCTTTGTCTGTCAAATATAACATTTCCAGTTAAAGGTGACACATAAAACTGACATGATTCAACGAATAACTAAAAACATTGTTCAGATGACAATCTTAAAGGTCCTAAAAAAACCATTTGAATTTTCCGCCTTTTTTATTCGATTATTTCCAGTACATTTACAAAGGATTTGGTGGACGAATGGGCCGACATGGGTGAAATACAACAATATTCATACACAAAATATTTATTTATAAATGTTTAATTTTTAGGTACAACTTTCAGACATCGATGATACTAGTATTTAAAGACAGTACATTATTTTTGCAATATACATAGTTTTCAGCACTGTTTCCGCCTGTCTTGGAAGTACGTCTGAGGGGCTTGGTCGCTCTGATGGAGCGATGTGTAGTCGCCATGTTTAACCTTAAAAACCAGTTAAATCCGAAAAGAATAAGTTTTCAATCCTGTTTCCCCCTGTCTCGGAATTAGGTTTGAGGGGCTAACACAGAAAGGGCATTGGTCGTTCGGATGGAGCAATATATCGAGTCGCCGTGTTTACCTTTAAAAACCCTTAATATCAGAAAAGATTAAAACGTAAAACCCAACTACAATGAACAAAATCATGAGCTATGAGCTATATCTTTCACTACTTTATTTGATGTTCCAATCTCTTCTTGCTGAGTTGTCAAACAAGATTGTTTTTTTCTGAATTAAAACAACACCCCAAAAAACTGTAAGAAAAAGCTGATAAAAGTTTCAAATAAACCGTGATATAAAGCCGTTTCTATTGTTTGTATCAAAAGTTGGAAGAGAAAAACGGTCTGTCAATTGTACACTGAAAAAGAAGTCGATTGTTGATTGGAAAGAAAAAGTAAATTTTGTTAACACATTTTCTGAGTACCTTTCATTTAAGACTTTAAGGACACGCCGGAAATAACATAAATATTTTAGCTTTCACCTCCCACAAACCAGCTGACTGGAATCGAACTGAGGATAATACTGAATTAAGTTATATAGACACAGCTTTATGGAACAACAATCACTGGTTAAAGTTTTATGCAACGTTTCGACGTGTTTCCCCCGTCGTCCTCAGGCACATAATGAGAAGAAGTGATGGGCAAACTATATATACATTAATGCTTATTATTAAGAACACACAAGAGGTAAATGGTTTATTGATACATTACATTAAATTTTAACAGGTACAATAAGAGGTATATAATTCTTAAAATAACATACAGGCTGATTAAGTAAAATAATTGTAGTAAAGTAAATGAATTAAAAAAGATTAATTGAAGATTAATTAAACAACTATTGCTGGTATTGGAGTCTTTTATTCATAGAAATTACATTGTTCATATAACTAACTGTGCTTAAAGTTGAAAATTGTTTTGAATATGAATAATTACAAGTTGATAAGTTTATCATATGCATGCGATAAACGAACACCTTCATCTCTGTTAAGGCCAGGCTGATATCTTCTGATGTGGATAGCTTCATGAAGTCTCCTGGTTTTATCTATGTGCTTATTGATTGTCAGTATGTTGGTGTTGTCAAAGTTGACTTTATGTCCTGTTTTCCTTCCCATAG